GCCACTGCCGCCGCTGCTCTCGGCCCCTGGGGGTGCTGGTGTGGAGGAGGGTGTTCGTCCTGCGGCTTCTGGGGGTGCCGCTGGTGTTGGAGGGGGTTCTCGCTCTGGGGGTGCTGGTTCTGGGGGTGCTGCTGTTGAGTGTTCTGCCGACGGTCGTTCTGCCTCTGCTGGTCCGAGAGTTCCGGCCCAGCCGTCGTCGCCGCCGCAGCAGCCGTCGCCGCCGGTTTCCGCTCTCCGCCTGCTCGGCCTTCCCTCCCCGGACCGCGCGCCGGTGTCTCCCCCACCGCCTCCTGACCTTCCTGTCTACGGTCCTGTGTTCCCGCCGCCAGACTCGTCTCCGGCCCGTCTTCCTCCTCATTCCCCTCCTGTGTCTCCTCCGCTGTCCCCTGACCCTACCCCTCCGTCTCACGTTTGGGCTCGCCGTCCCTCCCGTGCTCGTCCCGTCTCTCCTGTCCTGCCCACCCACCCTATGTTGCTCCGTTCCCACTCGTCTCGTCCTCCCCTCCTCCCGTCCCCTCCTCCCTCGTCCCTTGCTGTTGCACCTCCTCCGTTCTCTGACTACCTCCGTGCTTGCCCTCGGGTCCTTGCCTCTCTTGTTACCGACCCTGCTGTTCCTGTCTCGCGCCTTGACGCGCTTGTCGCTGCTGTCGCTGACTTCGCCTCTACCCGCCGCCTTGACTACGCTACCGCTCTGGTCTCTGACCCTGCCCGTCCTCTGTCCGTCGGGGGTGCTCCTGCCCTTGGCAGTGACGTCCTAGAGGACAGGCAGTACGAGCTGGCTTTCCTTTCCGAGGCTGCTCCCCATCTCTGCTCCATGCTGTTAGTCCCTGAGGGTGACCCAGACGCCTTCGACATCCCGACCCCTCGCACCTACGCTGAGGCCACCTCGGGACCTTGGGCCTCTCAGTGGATAGCTGCCATGGAGCAGGAGATGGCATCTTGGAGATCCACCGGCACTTACGTCGACGCAGTTCCCCCGCCTGGGGTGAACGTAGTCGATGGTCGGTGGCTCTTCAAGGTGAAGCGCCCCCCTGGAGAGCCGCCTGTCTTCAAGGCGCGCTACGTGGCCAGAGGTTTCAGTCAGCGCGAGGGGGTTGACTTCTTCCAGACCTTCGCCCCGACCCCGAAGATGACCACTCTTCGGGCGCTGCTACACGTAGCAGCACAGCGTGACTACGAGCTTCACTCCCTCGACTTCTCTACTGCCTTTCTTCAGGGCAGCCTACACGAGCAGGTCTACCTGCGCCGACCACAGGGCTTCACTGGTACCTTCCCTCCTGGGACCCAGTGGCTTCTCAGGCGCCCGGTCTACGGCCTGCGTCAGGCTCCCCGCGAGTGGCACGACACGCTACGTGCCACGTTAGCAAACCTGCAGTTCTTTCCGTCCTCTGCTGACCCTTCACTGTTTGTGCGTTCCGGCCAGACTCCGTTCTACATCCTTGTCTACGTAGACGACCTGGTCTTCGCTACTCCTGACAGGGACGCACTGGCCTCTGTGAAGGCTGAGCTGCTGAAGAGACACACCTGCACTGACCTTGGAGAGCTGCGTCGCTATCTTGGCCTGCAGATCTCTAGGGACAGAGCAGCACGCACCATCACTCTGACCCAGTCACACTTGGTGCGTCAGGTCCTTCAGAGGTTCGGTCTTCAGTTCTCCTCTGCACAGCCCACACCTCTACCCGTAGACCATGGGCTCTCTGCTCCCGTTCCTGAGGAGCCAGTAGAGCCCAGTGGCCCCTACGCAGAGCTGGTGGGTTGCCTCATGTACCTGATGACTTGCACTCGCCCAGATCTCGCATACCCTCTCAGTATCCTGGCTCGCTTTGTGGCTACAGGCAGACACCGACCTCAGCACTGGTCTGCCGCTAAGAGGGTTTTGCGTTATCTTGCTAGTACATCAGGCATGGGGTTAGTGCTAGGAGGACGCAGGCCAGTGGTCCTTACTGGGCACACAGACGCTTCTTGGGCAGACGACGCTGAGACGCTCAGGTCGTCGCAGGGCTACTGTTTCAGCCTTGGTTCGGGTGCTATCTCTTGGAGATCCACTCGCTCGTCGTCTGTGGCTCAGTCTAGCTGTGAGGCTGAGATCTACGCTGGTGCCATGGCGGCACAGGAGCTCCGCTGGCTGACCTTCTTGCTCACAGACTTAGGTGAGCGGCCTAGCTCTGCCCCGGTCCTGTACGCTGACAACAGGGCCATGATACTCCTGTGTCAGGAGCCTCGGCTTGAGGGCAGAGCGAAGCATATCCAGCTGCGGTACTTCCTCCTGCGCGAGCTACAGCAGCGCCGCCAGGCCCGCGTAGTTCACTTGGCCTCAGGTGCCAACACAGCTGATATCTTTACTAAGGCGCTTGCGCCTAAAGATCATCAGCGGCACTGTGTACAGCTTGGTCTTGTTCCTGTAGCTGCTCCCCTGTTAGGATCCTGATTGTGTACTCTCTATTATATATGCTTGTCAGACTGGCCTTGTGGCCTTACCTCCAGTGGCTGGACTAGTAGTGCCACCCTGGCTTGCTTCAGTTTTGGTTGTATTCTTGCTGACTGGTCTCCAGACCCCTGCCTCAGTGGTTGGACTAGTAGTGCCGCCCTGAGCTGTTTGCTTCTTGTTTAGTTTCACCCCTTGTCTAGCCTAGGGGGTGTGTCAACTTATACATATTATCTATGTAGAAGTTATAGGCTAGACTGAGGTATGCTTCTAGTGAGTACAACCAACTAGTATTTGTTCTAGGTTTCCACCTCTAGTAATCATTCGTTTCTACGTTAACACCGGGGGCTGGTTGTCAACGCGCGGAGCTTTCGGCGCGCGAGTAGGTGGCGGCATTTCTTTCTTCTTGGCGAAATTGGTCGTAGTAGTTATATTGTCCGAAGATGTTCCGAGCGTAACTTTCGGCTGCTGGTGTAACAGCGCCAGAAGCGCCTGGAGCTGTTGTGCGGTCAACGCGGGGGCGGCAGCGGCTGGCACAACCTCGTCAAAGGGCGTGTGCTCGGTGGGGCCCGCGTGGCCTGCAGCCGTCGCGACGTGCGCAGGCGCGTGGTCCTCCGTTGGCAGCTCGCGCAGCTGCTTCTGGAGCAGCGTGATTGGCGCCAAGCAGGACCTCGACAGCCGAGGGCCCCTCGTAAAAAATTTCCTCAGCAGGACGTTTCTGGCGACGGGCGGTTGCCCCGGCCGAAGTTCCGGGCTCCACGTAATTGTTGGGGTTGTTCGTCGGACGATTCGGAGTCGTGTTCGCCGACGCCATGTTAGCGAGGTTGTGCTGCAAAATGTCGGTGAGGAGCGTCGTCGGAGCTTTGCTTCAGGGGAGGGACTCGTCTTCGCCAGGTTGGACGAAAAACAGCGGAAATTGAACTAGAAAAACTAGAAATGAAGAACGTGGGTGAAGCCGAATGGCCTCAGGTCCAGGGCTCAAAATTGGTTTAGAGGCACCCTTGGGAATCAGGGTACCGCAACAGAAATACCCTGTCTCCTAGGGTGGAATTTTCAGCACCCTTTGAAAATCAGGGTGAATTCGTAAAAACTAGTCAATACCCTGTTTGAGTCAGGGTACTAATGCCATCACCCTGTCCACTGCGCGGTTAACAGCTACTACAATTTCAACTTCTTACTAGCAAGCATACAAGCAGGATCACTACAGCAAAGAATCAATAGCCTCTCCTACTTCAGCTACTTCCGTCAGCATTGCACCACTGCAGAGATACAGCAACAGCGGTGAGGGCAGTAACAGCTGTTGAGTGACCCGCTGGGGTTGCCCTTGAGATCCTCGGGGAAGGGCCACAGGTGCAGAGCCTGGGGGGCTATGGGCGCACTTACCCGCTATTCAACAAGCCCTTTTAACCCAGTGGTTAGTGACTGGGTTTCTGACAACAGCTACAGTGTTCCTTCCTTCCGCGGATGAAGCTGCTGCTGGAGGTGCTGAAGGGGAGGAAACGCAGGGGCAAGGACATGGTGATGCGCAGGGGGAGGAGCGAGAGACTAACAGAGCAGCGGGAGACTAAGGGCATATTCGTGAGTTTCGACTCATTTCGCTCATGAATACGCCCTTACGCCCTTAGTTTTAACTCGCATGCGCAGCGTGAGACTAAGGGCGTATTCATGAGTTAGCATCAGAAACAAAATCAGAATCAAAGCCGCGCAAATCCGAACCGAACCAAACCTCATTTCACTCTTGCACCTTACTTTACCGTGCAAGTCTGAATTCGAATCTGTTTCTGGTGCTACCTCAGGAATACGCCTTGAGGGAGCAGCGAGATACTAAGGGAGCAGCGAGAGACTACGGAAAGAGAGCAGCGAGAGACTAAGGGAGCAGCGAGAGACTAAGGGAGCAGCGAGAGATTACGGGAGCAGCGAGAGACTACGGGAGCAGAGAGAGACTACGGGAGCAGAGAGAGACTACGGGAGCAGCGAGAGACTACTGGAGCAGCGAGAGAGTATGGGAGCAACGAGAGACTAACAAGGCTGGGAACGAGCGAGAGAGACGAAGGCAGGGAACAGAGACACTGGGGGAGGGAGCGGCCAAAACGAAAATCTGTTGGTGCGAAGTGCCGCGGGATTCGGTGTAGGTGGGCGGGGCTGCCTGCCTGCGTGGCAGATTCAACAGTTGGCATATTTCGAGGGTTGGGAGTTATCTGTTTCAGGGTGTTTTTTGGCGCACCCTGATTGGTCAGGGTAATAAGACGAACACTCTTGCTACAACAGGTTAAAATATTCCTTACACTTTCTGAGAAAGGGTCAGAAAATTTGGCCTTACAAAATCAGGGTACTCCTGAAAAAAAGGGCGCTGGCAAGGGTAATCAGGGCGAAACACCCTTCAAAATTTGAGCCCTGCTCAGGTCCCTCTTTTGTAGGCAAACGAGGGTGAGTAACGCTTCGTCGCTGCCTTTGCTGCGTTGGCCCTCGCCACACTCTCACAATACAATTTCTTTTTCCAAAAAATTATTGTGTTGTGACAGCCTGGGCTGTAGCAGTCGAACTGTATGGTTTGCCACCATCCGCTTTTAGTTCATGTGGTATCTGATAGAGCACTATTTGTAGTGAAGGAGCCCAGTCGTATTGCCATATTTATACACTGCATTTACAAATCTTGGCGCGAGCCCTGTAAGATACGGCTGCGGTATTTGAGCGCTTGAAAATGTCGGAATTTCCAACAGCACAGGCAACGGACCACGCCCATTGGCGCGAAGCTTTGGTGCTTCGGGAGGAGCAGCAGCACGCAGCATCTGGGGACAGGAGACTGAAAGGGCGGGAGAGAAACGGGATAGGAGGAAAACAAGGGACAGCGGGGACAGCGGGTGAGGAGCGGAGAAATAGGTGCTGAACGGCGCCATGGCGAGCATGGGAATGTGTGAAACGCTCTTTCGCATCCAGCACGGAGGGCGTGGCGCGAAACGGGTATGCAGCTATCACTGGGGTGCGGTGTGGCCGCAGATACAAAAAGGACCCTCTTGGCGACAGGAGCCTGGTAGCTTGAGCAAGAGAGGCTGGTACGCGGCGTGGGGAAGGCCCAGAGAAAAACGAAAATCTAACAAATGCATGACAGCGCACGAAACAAGAGTATTGAGAATGAAGCAGCTAGCGGGACGAGGTTGCCTCAGTCGGAGGATGCGGCATTGGAGACAGCGGCATGCGCAGGGGTAGGTTCAGCTGCTTTCGCAGCAACCCCTGCAACCGCTGCTCCTACCACTCGCGTTTTCTTCATCATAGGCAACGCCGCGCGTGACCAGCACACAAAGAACGAACGCGGAGACGGAGACTAAACAGACGAAATCAGTGCATTCACGAGTCACGTCCATCAGTTGGGAGCATTCGAGTCGCCAGTGCCATGGGCAGTCCGACTTCAACAAGGACAGATAAGCATTCATCGCACGGACGTGACTCGGCAGCACCGGAGAAATGAAACCATAGCCCGCACCATTACCGAGCTCAACGAAAAAAGGACGACGCTCACTGCCAGTAAAAGAGCGTGAAAAGGAGTCCTAAGGACGTTGATTGCGAAGAGCGTGTAGGAAGAGTCACCATCAGCCTCCCATCAGAAATAAATCCATCGTCAGCGGCGCACCGACTGACTGCAGCGAGTGCAGCGCGGGGCCATCGGAAACGGCGGAAGGTGTCGTCGCGCGGGAGGCGAAGGATTCACCGCACGAGAAATCCCCGAGACACAGCTGTGCGTATTCACTGAGAGGAAGAGAGATACTCACATCTGAAACCCTCGCGGTATCGGTGGGTGATGCTTCGCCTGTGCTGACGATCGCATCAGCCTCACGCACAACATCGCGGTCGCACGTGCGTTCCACGCATGATTACGCCCTCATGACTAGAACGCCGCAGGAAAACCCCCCATCGTCCGGGAGCAGGGCGTCACCGTAGTGAACGTCTGGAGCTGGCTGCGACAGGAACACCACACTCGCAAGCCCGCTCAATTGAGGCGCCACTAAAACAGCCCATCTCGATCCGGCAGTCACAGAACCCAGGAGAACAGAAAAGTTAGCGATCTGAGGAGCTGCTTGGGCTTTATGGCAGGAGGAAGGTGGAGGGGGGTGGCTAACCACCAGCTGTTTTCCCCTGTCCCGAACCGATGCTGAATCACGTCACAGCTGGTTATTCGCGAGCGTCGGCACTGAGATCTGTGAAAAGGTGTACGCGCTGACTTGTTTTACACAAGGATCAACTTTACGCCGTTACAATAAGCATTACCATACATCTATGTGATGGATAATAAAAGATTGTATGTGCAAGGAATAGAGTATATATATGTATTGTACTATATCCTATGTAGGTATGCTGGCTGTGTATTAATTACCCAAACATCATCCATGAGACGCTAGAAAATATGGCCACATGGCGGACAAGGATAAGGGGGGCAGGAAAAGAAAGCATTGTGATATGGGGGGCAGGGATTGAGGGGCTATTGATATGGGGGATAAGGATAAAGGGGATAGATGTATAGGGGATATGGATTTGGGGGATAGGGATTGGGGGGATAGGGATATAGGGGATAAGGATAGAGGGAACAAGGATTTGGGGGATAGGGATATAATTGATAGGGATTGGCAACTGCGGCAGTGGCAGGCAGCGCCGGCAGCACAAGCGGCGGTAGCGGCGGCAGCAGTGTTGGGTGCGGTGGGGGCTCTGGAGGTGCGGCCCCGGAACGGTCACTGCCCTGGGGCCATTGTGGTTTCTCTGGAGGATCGGGGGTCTTGGGGCCTAGTGGTTTAGGTCCCACCGATGTGTCTAGTGTAGGAGCCAAGGGGATTTGGGGGATAGGAAAAGGGGGGATGGGGATCTGGGGGAAAGGAAAATAAGGGAAAGAGATACGGGGAATAGGGATAGGGGTCATATGGATATGGGGAAAAGGGATATGAGGGAGAGCGATATGGGGAATATGAATAGAGGGGATTGGGATTTATGGGGGAGAGGGGTATATGGGAGAAGAATATGGGGGATAGTGTTGGAGCGGATAGGGATTGAGGGGATTGGGGTATGAGGGAGAGGGGTATATGGGATAGGGTTAGGGGGGACAGGGATATGGGGGATACGTATCTGGGGGGATAGGAATATGGGGGGTAGGCAGGCCCTCATATTCAAATTCAGGCACCCTGAGCCCTCAGGGTTCACCCTCTGAAAAGCGTGCACCCCTCAGGGTTTGAGCGCTATGCACACCCTGTTCATACAGGGCATTTCCAAGACAGGACCCTGAGCTGACAGGGCACTTTTTGAAGTGCAGCTTTTTCGTTACAACCAACCTCACAATGTTTATAAAACATATGCACGCACAGTATGGCAGAGTAGTACATCATTCATTACGGTTTAGACACATCAAATTAGAAATTTCCTTCATCATCAGAGCTAAACCCACAGCTACTGTCACCATCATCATCCTCTGGCTCACCACCATCCTCCTCTCTCTCGTTGTCTGATGCATGCCCTTGCTTCTCCTTGCCCTTGTCGCTCCTTGGGCGGACACGGGACTGCTCTTTCTTCTTGCTGGGACGGCGCTTCTTGGTTTTGCGCCACAGGTCAACAACCGCGCCCCAATCCATGTCATAGTCTAGCATGCTCATGCACATGAGATCTGACAGCTTGCCGTTGCAGAGACTGGTTCGTTGCCAACTTTTGATCACATTTTGCCTGCTGAAACCTCGCTCACATTCGACAGTGCTGATGGGGAGAACAGCGACAGCCACCCACAGGCGAACCAAGTTGGGGTAGCTCTTGGGCCAGTCACTAGTCTGCAGCATGGCCGCCAAGCCATCATGAAAGCTGCGCTCTCCACGTGGAGCCCCTTGAAGCACGGGCACCAAGGTCTTCAGCTCTTTCCTTGCTGCTCTCTTGTCCACTCCTGCCACACACACAGCACAAGAAAAGAAGTGAAAGATACGAGTATCAGGCTTCCACAACCTGGCAGCAAGCACAAAGCCTGGCAGCAAGCCTGGCAGCAAGCACAAAGCCCGGCTGCAAGCATGTCAGCAAGCACAAAGCCCGGCAGCAAGCACAAAGCCCAACAGCAAGCTTGGCAGAAAGCACAAAGCCTGGCAGCAAGCTCAAAGCCCGGCAGCTACCGGTATGTGAGGCATACCTGGCAGCACTTCTCTTTTGTCACCCGCATGGAACATGCCAATGACCGACTCCAAGTGCACCGCGCACAGCTCATCTCGCGCCTTTGTGTTCCGGGGCCAAGTATCAGGCATCCACAGCCTCACTCCGTTCAAGTTGTCGAGGTCGCCGAGTCTCTGCCCCAAGTTGTCGACTGCTGCCTTCGCGAACACTCTGCAAGGGTCAAAGCAGGACTCCAAATCCCCCGGGATCTCGCTGTATCCCGGAAGCTCCTTCTCGTGCAACTTGAAATGGTGCACTCGCGGCCAGCCTTCCTTGTCAACTCCCTCCACGGTCACCTTGCGACTGTTGGTCGACCCATGTCGCAAGAGAAATGTGGCCAGGCGCTTGCTCCCGTCACCCCCAAAACGCTCGCCACAGGTGATGTAGCGCTGACGGATGTAGACGCAGGTGCGTCTGACCAGAGATCCCACTACCGTGAGGTCCACCTGAGTGGAAGGGAGGAAGGTACGAAAAAAACAGGGGAGTAGTGAGTAGTATTTCCAAAAACTTTAACGCATACGTACATTGCAGTGGCCTACCTCTCGAGTCTGGAATGCCAAGTTGAGGTTGTTCAGCTCCTCCAAAATATCTGCTAGGAAGAACAAGTACACGTGAAATTTGAGCGATGTAACCACGTGATACATCTCCGTGTCGTATTCCAGGAGGAGAACAATCACAGCGGGCAGCACTTCGACAAGCCTAAGCACAGCCATGCCACGGCTGAGCCACCTAACAAGGTGGATGCCTTGAAGCTCTAGGTTCGTCATTGAGAAGATCGCCTGCAGCTCCTTGAACAGCATGTGCCAGTTGTGCGACCTCCCCAGTAGCTCTGCGACGGTCCTCAGGATGAGGTCGACGATGCCAAGCTCCGGTGCGGCACTAGCAGCGTCCTTTGAAGCTAGGGCTTCCCTACCAAACAGAACAATGTAGACATGATCAGCAATGCGAAAGGAACAATGAAACAACGATGAAAGAATGACGGAACAATGAAACAACGATGAAAGAATGAAGGAACAATGAAACAACGATGAAAGAATGAAGGAACAATGAAACAAAACATCAACAATGTAACAATGAAGGGACAATGAAACAATGAAATGCGCAAGGAACTTACCGATGGGCGATGCAATGAAAGGAGACGAGATGAGGCAGGCGAAGACGAAGTCGCGCGACCAAACCGCCCGTGACGCCCATCATGACCGCGGCTCCGTCAGTGCTGATTCCCGCAACTTTGTTCAGGTCTAGTCCGATGCTCTCCAGATGAGCTAGGAGCACTGCAAGAAGGGACGCAGCATCACATTTCTCGACAGACAGCAGTGCAAGAAACTCGGTGACCACTCGCCGGTCACGAATGAAAGTAGCGAAAACAATCATGTGCTTGCCGCGGACTCTGTCAGTGCTCTCATCACAGCTGAGTCCGATGAACGGACTCGAATGCAAGTACTCGTGCTGCCTTGCACGCAAGTATGTCGCTGTGGACGTGGTGAGCTCCTGGAAGCCATAGCTGCAATGAATTAGACGAGAGAAGGGAGAGGTGAGCTCCTACAAGTGTACAAGCGACTGCTGAGCTCCTAGAAGCTATACTAGTAACGAAATCAGTACGCTTGCATAGAATGGACAATGGGGTTACTGACAGCAGTACTCACGTTGTGAAATAAGAACCATATCCCTTCTTCGGGAAGCCCGGCGTGCGCCTTCGTGAAAGATACTTGCACAGCTCGACCCACATCTCAATCGGCGCATCTGACTGGCAAATGAACATGAGCGTCTCCAGGAGTGCGATTACCCGTTCCTTCATGATGTCGTACGCCGACGGACAATCCTCGATTCGTTGTTGCCCCTTTGTCAGCTTCTCCGCGATGGCCTGATTCCGCACTGCTCGCTTGTGTTTCTTGGTGCGCTGGTGATTCCGGAACGCTTGTGTCTGGACATCAACCGCTCCTTCACCCCCGCGACCGTAGTTAGTTCCGGGACCTGCATGATGCATGCACACACTGCACCTCACAGAGGGGAACCCGGCCTTAGTCTGACACAGCACAAGCCATGGGAAGTCCGAGGACCACTCCTTCTTGAACCGGAAAAGCGCATCTTGATATTTATCCTCTGCTTCGTCGACGATGGGCATTGAGTCTGAAGATGCGGCAGGGGAAGTGGGCCCAGATTCGGCAGGCAGCGTCACGGTCGGCGTGGGAGGTGGTGCTACCCACGTACGGCCAAAGCTGAGAGTGACTTGGCGGTACCGGGCACCGAGCAGCTTCTTGGACGTGATGGGACCCATGCGGGTTGCACCATGCGCCAACGATGTCACACTTGCTGCTGGAACTGGTGCTGTTGCTATCGGCGCGGCAGGAAATGTTGCTGCTGGAACTGGCGCTGCTGCTATCGGCGCGGCAGGAAATGTTGCTGCTGGAACTGGCGCTGCTGCTATCGGCGCGGCAGGAAATGTTGCTGCTGGAACTGGCGCTGCTGGGACTGGTGCTGCTAGACTAGGTAGTGATGCTGCCAATGGGACAGATGTCTCAGCATGATTCCTAGAGGCAGGTACTGCGTGGACTCGCCTCAGGAAATCTAAACCCGTCAGATCGCGGGACCTAGAGGCAAGGGCGGGCTCAACGGGGGCCTGACTACAGCTGCCAACCCTATCAGGCTCCGCCATGGCGATGGGCGGGCAGCTATGCCGAAACGCATGGGCGGCGGCAGAAACAGATCGACGAGGAGGAAAGGCAGAGTGTCTCTCAGTTTGCTGGTGACCCAAAAGCACAGCTGTATGAAGCTGGGTGTGCAAGAGACGCGTGGTAGGGAAGGGCGTTTCAGGTGCAGCAACAATAACGGAATTGGACGGAGCGGTGCGAAGAAGGACAGAATTGGAAGGGATGTGCATGCAGGATTCGTTCG